GCGGCCCCCCGGGCCCGAGCCCCGCGGAGTTACCCGTCCATTACATCCAGGTGCAGGTAGTCGGCCCCGGAGTCCAGCATGCGGAGGCACTCGGCGCCCAAGTTGGCCAGGTCGCTGTTGAGGATGGACGGCCCAACCTTGCAGCCCGACGCCATGGTGCTGGTTCCCCAGAGCAAGTTACCTCGCGAGTCCCGGGCCAGGCGAAGGCGCCGCTCCGATTGGCTGCTCCGTTCTGACCCGGCCTCTTCCTCTCAGAGTCTTCCGGACTCCGCCGGAAGCAGCGGCCCTGGGAGGAGGAAGTCCCGCCTTCCGGTTGGGGGCGGGGCCTCGCATCAAGGCCCCTGCCTCTGACCTTCGTTTTTTAAGACCGGCTTTAGTCCTCTGAGAACTCGAGTTTCTTCACCTTTTAACACGTTACCTTCCTGTAGTTTCTTTTCCTCCTCGCTTTACTATCTGTTTCTCCATCATTTGTGTGCCTTTCCTGTCCACCCCCTGTTACCCTTCAAAAACACAAAGCAAAAACCACTTCTTCCTTATTTCTCTCTCCGTGAACTGGTCCTAAAAGCTGAAGGAGTCAGATTTGGGGCGGGATCATAGCTCTATCAGACACTAGCTGGGTGAGGTAACCCAAAATTAATGTTAGACTATAATAAGGATTAAAAAGCATGTATTTGAGCAAAAGCAGCTGTAGGAGACACGGACCCAGGTATAAAACCTGAATTGTGTTCCCCTGAGACAAAGGGGAGGTGCCTTATATAAGTAAAGTCCTTGCCCAAGTTTTCAATTAGGTCCATTTTATGTAAACGAGGTACCCCAAATCCTACACATCTGATTGGTCTGAATCGTGGAGCCCTGATTGGCCAGCATTATGCATCCTGATTGGTCGTTATGGGGCAGTTCTGCTCTGACTGGGCTGGTCTTAGTCCATTGGTGGGAAAATGAAACCTCTTATGATAGTTGGCTCCGTGGGAGTAAATGAGCAGGAAGCTTAGAATTCCGCTGTGGTTCTTCCTGGTACAGAGTAGATGAGAACCCCTTGTCAGCAAATGGTCACTTGGATCTTATTATTTGACTGAGTTATTCACTGAGCGTAATATCCTCTCTAAGTCCATCCATGGTATTGCAAATACCATGTGATCTCACTTATATGAGGAATCTAAAGAACAAGAAAAATGAACAAACAACCTTGAAACAGACTCATAGACACAGAGAGTGGACTGGTGGTTGCCAGAGGGGAAGGGGTTGGGGGACTGGGTGAAGGCATTAGAAGTACAAATTGGTAGTTGCAAAATGGTCACAGGGATGTAAAGTATAGCACAGGAAATAGAGTCAATAATATTGCAATAACTATGTATGGTGCCAGGTGGGTACTCTAAATATTGGGAAGAACAGTTTGTACAGTATAGGACTGTCTAGCCACTATGCTGTTCACCTGAAACCAGCACAAAGTAATATTGAAAGTAAACTGTAACTGGAAAATAAAAATAAAATGCAAAATCTGGGCCCTCAGTTGATCATGGGGAGTCCATCTCAACAGATAAATTTCTTCTCGGGGTTCACATCAAATAAATCTTTCTTCTCTGAGTCCACAATGACCTGGAAAGTCACTTCTCCCTGCTTCATTGTTTTCTCATCTGTTAAGACAGTGTCCAGTGTTGTGAGGATTAAATAAGCAAATCCTGGTGATGTGCCCAGCACATTATGTCTGGTGCCCAGAACAAAATAATGGTGGTTATTATTACTACTCTCCTTCTCTGCTTTTTGTCCTCATTCCTCTGATCTTCTTGTTTTTTCCCTCTCAGGAATGTTCATTGACAGAGTATAATCCATTTATTTACTGTCCAGACACAATTGAAGAGGTATAAGAGTGTTTATTTTTCTGCCAAATGTGTCTAGAGTCTTTGGGTCAGGAAAAGACAGGAAATACCAACCATGTGAGGAAAAAAATGAATTTAGCAAGAACATACCTTGGAGGGTAAGGATAGGGCACTATGTACTCTGTATAAAAGGCAGACTGGTAGTAACTTGAACCCCATGATGGTTCTGGCTACATTCAGAGGACAACCAGGTCCTTAACATTCCTCCTGGGAAATCTACCAGTCATTCCAGGTCATAACCTGGGCAAAAAAGTCAAGCTGGGGTATCTGTCTTCCAATATGCTCGTTCTGCTTTACTTTTGAAAGTTAGGGTAGAATATATGAGTAGAATGGAGCACAGTTGGGATTGGGGAGGAATTGGATGTGTCTAATTGAAGGGTGACCTCAGGCCAGGTAGGGGATTGAGGAGAGACATCAAGGCACACAGCAGGGCTCCAAAAGGAATACTTTCCTGAATGAGTTAAACTATTCCCTATGTTAAGAAATGAGAAATGAAACAATCAGTCCTCTTAAGTGTTTTTAGAGTTATTTTATTATATATGTGCATATTCAAACACAGAAGTCTTAATATCTTTCATAAATATCTTTCATAAACATTTCAGTATTAATTCATAGGCATTTTTCCATGCTCTTTGGTCATCCAGTATTTATAAGACGTCTTAAGTCATCTGAGGGAAGTTGGCTGTGTAATCATTTGTTTTTTACCTACAAAATGGCTAATAAAGGATTTTTATCCTTCAGTCACAGTGACTATTGAAATATATTATGGAGGTACATTGATCTGTAATGCTAAATGATCCTAAAACAATATAATTAAATTTGCCTTAAGCTTTTCCAAATACATTCTACTCTTAACTTGTCTTTATTGTCCTGAGTGTCAAACCAAACTCTGTTTCTGAATTGATGCAGTTGAGGCCCACTAAAGTAAATGAGGAAGTGGACTTTCTACTCACTGCCAAGGACAAGCCATGGCATGGGAAGTGTGCAGTCACATGGCAACAGCATGGCTTGGTGTGACAGCAGCAAATTCCAGACTTGAGGAAGGGTATTTGTGTTTTAGACTATAATTCTATTTCTGACCCTTTCTTTCCTGTTGGTCCCTATACACACCCTATTCTCATCTCAGATACTGTTGGAGTTGGACAGCTGAGTGGATAATATTCTTCATTGACTAAAGGGACAGATACTAAAGAAGGGAGCTGTCACACTGCCTTAGGTACTCTTGGAGGCCTGAAATAGCAAACCAGTTATTTTCAGCCTATTCAACAAGCTCTATCCAGACCCCCAAATACCAGAGATTGTTTTCCCAACACTGCCATGCCCAATTATGCTTTTTGACACTAGTTCCCAGTGCATTGTCCCAATGTACTCAACAATTCAGTTTCCTTCTCTTGGAAAAAAAATCAAATAACACATCTAATAGAATTATAGAAAGCAGCAAATACTGGAAAAATGAGAATAAAATGTTTTTCTATAGAAAATGCTGTACCCAGGATTGAACTACTTTAATTGAAACTGAGTACTATAAATCTACACCCACTATTATGGATGATACATGTTTATTCCAATTTCTCTCAAAAGTTAATTTCTGAAAAAGCAACCTCTCAGTTGAGTCCAATTTTTTACACATGGGATGTAAGTGCCTGTTTTAATTTTCCTCTGAACAAAATGAATATCATTAAGCATCATAGCTTAAGAAATGATATAGTATTACCAATACTGTATTTATCATATATAATTATTTTTAGTCATATACTCAATAATTTGAACATTGCAAAAATTTGTTAAATATCTTAAACATTTCTCTAATCTCCCACTACTATTTTTTTTTTAAATAGCTATTCCTTCAAACTCCAGGTAACAGTATTCCTGAGAATACATCTTGTGACAATCTTATGCACATACATTTAGATACTTTATCAATTGCACATGAACATTCAATAAATTACATTCAACACATTTAAGGGCACCTTAAATGGAACAGATGCATACATACATCTGCAAAATCTCAGTAATCCCAGTATGAAAACATTCCCACCCTCCAAGGCCCTGCTTCTCAGAGTGGTGGCTTTTTTTGCAAGATACAACAATACTTAGCTTATTGGAAAAGTTTCCAACAGCCATCTATAACCCTAGAGTGAAGGAGTCAGGCTAAAAGGCAGACGGGTCAGCATAAATATGTTCAATACTTTTTACATATAAAGGTATTCTTAGCAGATATTTAACAATCTTCTTTGACCCCTTTACTTTTTAAATATGTTATACAATTACACATAGAGAATTTGAATCAAGAATCAAGTAACTGGAACAAAACACAGACAGATATAGAGACTCATATAGCTCAGACACATGTAATTACCAAACATAAGGCCTCTAACACTAATTGAGCAGCATAATTTTTAACAGGCAAAATACATCAGCTTAGAAAGAGTTATAAACCCACTTATATTATATTTCTGCATAATTCAGTGTTAAGTGTCTATATTCTGAAAATATTTTAAAACAGAAAAGAAGCCTCTGCTTTCTGAAGCTCTATTTTCTGAAGCTTTAGATTGGAAATTTTTAGTTTTGTCCATTATTGTCTTTAACTCACAGATACCTTTCATTCTCATAGTAAATTGGACCAAAACCCCAAATTATATTTGAACGTACAAACCACAGTGTAAACAATGCCTATTTAATAAAGGATTCTAACAGAAAAATAATTTTCCTTGTGATTTGGGTGGGTTTAATAGGTCTCCTCTATATATACATATACTTTCATGGTCAACATAGTCAAAGTTTAAGCATATAGAATGTGTTATGAATTCATTGCAATAATAAATATCTGTATTTAACTTCAACTGGAGGACTAGAAAACACACCCACTCACTCACACACACACCACCATACCAATTTAGGTAAATATATGAGTTTTTATATAATTAGTAGTTCTGTAACAGTTTTCTAATGTAAACTGTTACATTTCTGAAATTCAATTTTGAACTGTATTATACCTAGCCCTACTACAGCATCAATAACATACTAGATATGGCCTCACAAGCCTTTTAAGTTTTATACTTTGCTTGAGTAACTGAACTTCAAGTTAAAATAAATTCATAAGCTGACTTTGTCCATGAAGCGATTGCTCAATTTATATTTTTTTCCTCATAAACTCAAATGTCTAAAGGATGATAAGAATATTGTTAACATTGGGAAGCTATTTTAGTGAACCTATTCTAACAATAACTTTAATATCTGAAAATATGTCCCCGAGGGTAGGCACTACTATAAGGAAACTAATCACATTTTGCAGTATCTCCTAATATTGGCAAGGTGTAGTTAGGGCTAGAAGTAGGAATACCATCTTTTTCTAACTATTATAGTTATATTTCATTTTTATTATAGTATGCATTGTTTAGGTTCTTCTTAATTCAGAATTACGTCTGATAATTTCTAGAGTATTCTCTCTACAGTGATTGATTATGAACGGAATGACCTTATGGCATTAGTATTCTGATTTACAACATGCAATAAAAATGACGGTTGAAAAGTAAATATTGAAAAGCCCACAGCTCTAAAAATAATATGTTTTCCTTCTTCTACATGGCTGCGTTGTTGATCAAAACAAAAATGTCCGTGGGCTTATTTATTATTTAGTTTCCCCCAAACTAATATTTTCATTATTGTGGGCTTATTATTTAGTTTCCCCCAAACTAATATTTTCATTATTTGTTATTTTTATGTAAATTGCTACTTGTACAACCACCTGGTTTAATATTTTTGAAACTATAAAAATAAACATTTGCATGAGATGTATAATGTGAATAACCTCAAATGCATTCTCTTTTAGAATATATTATTTGTTAATATTTCTAGCTAAGCAGCTCTGTAATCGTACGTTTTTAACTGCTCAAGCCTTCTTGAATCACAAACAATGTGCAAACGGCTCTTTCCCCTTATTACTCCCTGGTCTTTACGGTCTTCATACAATTAACTAATCTTAGCCATTGTTTTTTAAAAGGTGTTTATGAAACAATATGTGCACTGGCAGCAAAATCTACTGAGATTTGTGTCACCTATTGGATATAAAGTGCTGTGTTTTCATCTTTTTTTTTTTCAAGCAAAAGTATTCAACTTGTAGCTAAGTGATCCCTCGCTCATCTTGTCTACACCTGCAACTCGGACAAGATGCAGAACTAAACATGCGACTCATCCAGGTCTACGCCAGCCTCCCCCAGCTCCGTGGGAGTGAACGTGAACTGGCTGGACAGCAGGGGGTTCTCCATGCCGTTTTCTTCGCTGATGTGAAGGACAGTGTCTCCGTGCTGCAGGAGGATGGACGTCTCAAGGCCTGTGAAGTCATCAGGGTCTGAGATTTGAGTAGAGAGGGGGCTGTGTGCTGCAGCACCTTGTACTTCTGGGTCCTCCTTCTTTTCTCCTTCAGCAGGGAGGGTCTCACTCTATGATCAAACAGACCATAATGTCACGGGAAAGTAGAATGGGTGCCAGGGAAGAGTATACAAAATGTTGTCCAGCTTTAACTGGACAGGATTTTCAAGGCTAGTCTCATTTCTAGCCTTTGTTAGATGTGAGCTTTTTTGGAGGCCCTCCAACTTTCTAAGCCTCGGTTTTCTAACCTGTTGCATGAGCATAATTTTTGCTCTGCTAACTTCGTACACTGCGAGGATAAATGAGCTCATGCTGTTACAATGCTTTTTAACCATTAAAGACTACACAAATGTATATAGTAATATTGCCCCTTTGCTTTCTTCAAGTACATGAGAAGGAAGTTGGACCTATGGGAATTCATTTATAAAAATCAAAAGAAGAAAAAATATCATAACAATGAGGGGAAAGATCAAAACAAGAAGTTCCTCTCATCTTACAGGATGCAGAAGGCTCTCTATTTAAAGGCTGCATCTAAATTGGTAACTTTTTTAAAACAGAACTATCTTTAAACTATGAATCATATATGGGTTTCAATGGATATTTTAATTGTGCAATATTTTCCCTGAGGTTTCTCATAATAAAGAATACCAAGACTTCTCCTATTGCTTCTTAAGTAAATGTATTCCTGGCCATATACTTTATATGGTCTTCTTTTTCATGATGATAGGACCATCATCTGTCTGGCTAACAAAACGTTACAGGTCTAGATTTAAATGTTATGCAATAAATTTGCATATCCAAGTGGTTCCTAGACATAAGTATGCAGGGAGCAAGCCTTGCCTGTTTCTCTAGCACCCTCACCTGCTTGGGAGACAGTCTATGAAGATCAGCAACAACAATGGCCGGGGAAGATGTGAGGACTGGTTTGTCCATTCCTTCTGGCTTCCCAGATGGGGCTGGGCTGCAGCCTTGTGGCTGGACTGTGGCAGGAAGTGTGTCTGTTGGGGCACCTGCTAGCTCAGGCTGAGCCGGCTGAGCCTCAATGAAGGTCACAGATCGTTTCTGATCCACTGCAAGTGAGAGGTAAAGCAGTAAATAGAGGGGAAATATGTAGTCATTGCTTAATAACTGGTATCTCCTGGCTTTTCTTAATAAAGATGTTGTTGGTTTATTAATAAGTGAAAGCATACTTGACTATTATGTATATATTTTGATTTCATCTTCTTATAAAAAGTAGGATTTGGGTAGAAAAATCATTTTTACATAAATGGCCCAAGAACAAGATTTGGATAGAGCATTAGGTGAACTTGGTCCTCACAATAACTGCCAACAGGATTTTAAAGTCCCCATTATCTACCATGTCTTTGTCTTCAGTAAGACGTATAACAAACTCAGTCCCTGGCTTGGGTAAAGAAAACAACCTTCTATAGTTAAATCTAATGGCTTTTATAGTTTACCTTGGACTTTGCCATTTCTCTAGATTCTTTTTTAAAAAATATATTTTATTGATTTTTTACAAAGAGGAAGGGAGAGGAATAGAGACTTGGAAACATCGATCAGCAGCCTCCTGCACACCCCCTACTGGAGATGTGCCCGCAACAAAGGTACATGCCTTTGACCGGAATTGAACCTGGGACCCTTCAGCCTGCAGGCTGACGCTCTATCCACTGAGCCAAACCGGTTAGGACTCTAGATTCTTGAAGGTAAGGATGGGGGTTGGGAAAGGTGAGAAGAAAAAAAGGCACTAAAGTTTTCTGGGAAACTTCTTCCCTGATCCTAGTGTCTTCCCAGAAAGGAGCTTATCTGCATAAGTTTCTGCAGGTCTCCCAGGCTGAGTTGCATGGCATCGTGTCAATGGTATAATCAGAAGGGACACAGGAACCTCACCAGATGGCTTCGTTTTAGGTTGAATGCTCCTCCGAGTGGTTGACAGCCGAGCTCCATGGCGGTTTCTGGATTCATTCTGAGTCTTCTGACGTGACAGTAGAGGACGTCTTAGCTAAAGAGAACAGGCAGAATGAAGCTGACTGCCTGGGAGAAAATGCTATGCTCTGAGGATTCTATGGTTTACTCCCTACTTTATGGGTTTCTGTTGACTCTTATGATTGTTCTTTACGTTTGTAGCTGGTAAACTTCTTTCTGCATGTTTGACTACAAGTATTTGATTCTGACATCCCCTTTAACCAATCCCATCTCCTGATTATTACACCTGCATATAGGGTAAGAACATTAACATCATTTAAAGTAGCCAATGTGAGAATTTCAGGATACAAAACTAACGATTATTCCTTACAGATCGGCCTTTGTTCACCTAAAAGTTGCAGTTGAACCTATGTGACCTCTCAAGGGAGTGGGGGGGTTGATGAAAAAAACCTCAGATATTGAGAAGTGTCTGGTGTCCAAATCAATGCTGGGATGCTCCCATCACAATAAGAGAGCAAAGGCTCACTTCAATTTTTACTTAGAGAGTTATGCAAAGGAAACCCACTTAAGGAAACTCATAAAGATAATCTTTACTTTGGTTTCAATTTTAACTTGAATCATTAACCTTGAAATGAGGAAGAAAGGACAACTGTGTCTATGCCTTTACACAAACATCAACTTTAAAACAAATCGTCCTGGGTCATGAATTTGGCTGGGGAAGAAAGCTTCTGGAGAGGGAACAGATAGAAGTATAGGCCTACTCACTTCACTAAGTCATCAGCTCCGTTCATATGAGCTAACATAGGAGCTAAAAGCTCTCAGATGGCTCAAGCACTTACCATGTTTTACAGGTGCTCTGTACTGCTTGTTTTGGGTGGGAAGAAGGCAAAATATAATCTCAATATATACGGACATTTAAAATTCAATAGGGCTTCAATCTATTTCATGGGGTGACTCTCCTGCCCTTCTCAGGTCTGCTTACCTGCCTCAGGCCCCTCTTCCTCCCCAGCGGCTGCTGAATGAGGAGGTTCTGTTGGCCAGGTTCGCTCTGCACACTTGCCACCCTGCCAAGCACCAACAGTGTTAGTGTGCCTGGAGACAGTACGGAAGGTCGTCCTCTGGTGGGTGTTAGCCTAAGTCACTTACACGAAACAGTCACTTCAAAGATACCATTATCTTTGAAGGAAGGTTGGGAAAGAACCCCTGAGATGGGAGTTTTCAAAGGTTTGGGAGGAAGGACAAGGCCTTTGTAGCCCCGAGCTGCCAAAATTGAGATTCTGTTTTCAATCACGGTGTCATAGTTATCATTCAGCAAAACATTGGTTTGATCACACCCCTGGTTTGGAAACCACCAAAAAGTTTGAGATGTCATATTCTAATCTCAATTTTTTTTTCCCAGGGGGAGGGAAAAAGGTAGTGACAAACAAACACAAACAACTCTACCACATGGATGGGAACACCTTTTTGAAGATTTCAATTTAAATGAAGTAAGATGGACGAATATCAAACACATCAGACACAGAATCCATTTGGGTGAAGGGGCACATTCAGCACATGTTTGCAGCCTGAAGTCTCTGTGACTACTAAGTGAATAGTCACATGGGCAGACAAGTGTTTTTTTTTTTTTAAAAAAAATGGATTTAGATTTAAAAGGCTGGCCTAGTAATTAATCTGTCAGTAGAACTCGGAAGAGAAATGATCAATATCAAAGAGCTGCACTTAAACATATCATGCAGTTTATAAAAGCAGCAACCTGCTCCCCCCAAATTTGCTGTGTATGTGTGTATTTTATATGCAAGAATGACTACTGGTAGTGGCCACTATTTTAGTGTTGGGTGAAGCTGAAAATACTGTCATGGGTCCATGATCCTTTATCATTCTGCATGCATGTATAATAGGTGTTCATAATGGCAGTGGGGGTGAAAAAAGAGATGTATTGTGCCCCAGAGAACACTGTAATTCTGTGGATGATGCCAATGTGATTATTTGGTTTATGGGTAATTCATTTCTGCTTTGCCTTTGCAAAAGGAGAATCATTTACAAATAGTTTTTAGAGTCAAATATGCCACAGAGGAATCCAGAGTCAGCAACTGTCCAGGAAAAAAAAGAGAAAGACTATATTCATTCATTTTCATTTTTAAAAAATGAGCTATCTAAATACCTAGTGGCAGTTGCAGGGAGAAGAACTGGTGTCTAGATGGACAATCAGATGCTTTCCACCTTGTGTTTACAACTGGTTAATCATGATGTGGTCAACACAGGCACATCCATCAAATTTTAAAAGTCTTACATTTCCACCAAAAGAAAATCAATAATTCCCAAATGGAGTTTTATCAAAGTTCTTATGAAATAAGAATGTAATTATATCTTAATTATACCATTTGGGATAGATAATACAGAATTATATAAGGAGTCCCCCGAACATGTCTTTAAAACTTTCTTGTTCTTTTAATATCAGGTTCAAAAGAGCAATGTACATTATTTTTATACATATATGACCTTGTACCATCTATGACCTTTCTATGAAGACAGAAAATTACCCCAATGGAACAATGCAATAAGTTCTGATAAACAATCCAGACTATGTTGCTGGAATGTTTGACATGACATCTCCTTATTAAGTGTACATTTTAACATGTGTCATAAATTGGAAAGAGAATTCAATTACCACATGCACAAAAGTACAAACAAGTTTCTCCCAAATACCAAGCAAAGCTTTCATTGGAATGGGTTCTTCATTGACATCTAAATGTTACCTCAGTTCCCTTAGCCATAAAGGGAGGTTAATACTTACCACCTACCTCCCATTAAGGTAGAGAAAAGAAGTTAGTTGATGTAAGATGGTTTGAACATGAAAAGTAATGTTTATAACATGCTTCCTTGTTTTACATTTATGTTTGTAGTGAGTTTATTGCTTTTAAAACACTAAAAGGGAGTGGGTAATAAAATATTTTGATAATAACTGGGCAGAGAAAATGAAGTCGAGGCGGTCCACTTGTCTCTTTTCATTCAGAGTGTGAGAAAAAAATGTCGCAAGAAAAGAAAAAAATGCACATTACTCAGAGAGTGTTATATGTCAAAACATAATGGTAATTTCACGATGATAATTCTAAGGGAGGATCATAATAAGCACCAAAATTTTCTCTATGGATAGAGATGTTTATTTCTAAGAAATAGGTCAAGTTTATAGCTTTAGTATGTAGTTGTTCTATGTAAAAGATGTAGCATTTCATCAATGGAATGCACACATCAAAGATGAATTTATAGAACATATCCTTGGAGATATATCCCAGCTAAATTCTCCTTCAAAATGTAATGCTAACATGTTTATATTTGGGGCATCAAAGTCTGGCTGAACTCTGTGCAGTTAGGACATATTACTAATAAACAGAGAGGTTCATAATGAAGGTTATTTATGCAGAGCCTGTTTCTTTTTCTCAGGTCTTTATCAAATCGGAGTCACATATAAGTAGTAGTTTGTTTAGCTTCTCTGCACATCATCTAATATCTCATCTGTAGGATTTGCAGTGTGTGACCAGAGGTGTCTAATACTAAAACTCACCAGGAAAAGACCAAGGTATTAGCCTTAAGCACCTCTCCATAGAAAATTGGCTTCCTGAAATTTTTAATCTTGGGAATGAGAAATGCTCATTTTTACTCTTTTGCTAAATAAAAGGGCAAAACAATAAGGATAAAAGCAAATAAAGCTTTCTAAGTTGAAGCTAAAATCATCGTTTGTATTTTTGAGTCACTGAAAAACATGACAGTGGCAAACCATAGCATGATCTGGGTTTTAGAGAAGCCAGTGCTTGGGGCTTAGCAGAACTGGTGTGACTCAACTGGCCACAAAAGACAGACGCCTTACTTAAGGCATCTGTAAGGAAGGCATTTGTAAGCTAATGAATTCTAGGTAATGTTAGAGGGATGATTTTGGCACAAATTACCTCTTTTCCCTTGTTTCAGTATGATGGCTGGATTGTAGTATATAAATATGTTTGTACTTTCTAATGGGATATACGTATACCTAATGGTATTTCTTAAAAGAATAGATAAACAAGGGGCCATTCAGTAATAAATAAAAATTCATATCACTCATTTCAAATGACAAAAAAGTTTATGGATTGAAATATATTTGATAAATAAAAAATTTAAGTAGAAGCTATGGGTGAGGAGACTGGTACACAGAAAATGAAGTAGTATTTTGATTGCTTTTATCATTGCATTTTTAGTTTGAATTTGATTAGATAAGTCTAGAGGTGGAACACAAGACACAGGGGATAGCCATTTACCCTGAATAATTGCCCTGTGGTAGGAATGAATAAAACCAGTACTAAAGGAGCCATAGAACGCTTGCAGAGAACAGGGGATTCAAGAGTAGACAAAAGCCCTATTTTTCCCTTTCCCAGTAAAATATTATTGTTTAACATTTACTCAGCCTCCACAACATCCAAGAATGTGTTTTAAATACCACAGAATTTAGAGATTACAGGCTAGAATCAGATTAAAACGAGAATAATCTGGATATTAGGGGTCACATAAGAACTGATTTAGTAATGACCAAGTACTTATCTGTGTATCATACACACATTTTCAGCTACATAAAAAGGTTGTTTTAATTTTTTTTGTACTTTGTGAGTACTTGCCAAATTTTTATACTTTGAAAATGTGTATGACCATGAGTCTACTAAAAAGGTTATTTTTATTTTCTCTCACCCAAAATATACATCTTGTTGAAACTTGAACCACATTCTTAATTTCCACTGTGATTACAATCATCCTTATGAAATCAAATAGAATTGCAAACTCCTTTTTAAAATAATTAGAGTTGATTGTCAACTCCTGCCTTTCAAAATCTTCTAACATGTCCAAACAAAATCTAATTCTCAAGTATAAGCATCCAGGCTTGAGCGCTTGAATAAACTTAGGTATGTCTATATTTTTCTAGAGAAGAACTATGGTCCATGGTGTTTGTATTTGGGGGTGGGCACAGGGAGGAAACATCTCCAGTGAGTTTCTATACCTTTAAGAGCAACATTCTTAACAGAAGATAATTCTTCCATGGAATATTATTTCAATTTATTAATTTATAAAAAAGAATCTTTTCTCCATAGGATAGTGCTTCTAACAGGGTGCTTTTTCTTGTCTTGAATCTTTAAAATAAATTAGTTATGCCCTTGTCGGTATGCTCAATTAGTTGAGCATCATCCCATGCACTCAAAAGTCAATGGTTTGATTCATGCCCGGGTTGCAGGCTTGATCCCCAGTGCAGGAGGCTTGCTGGAGGCAGCCAATAGATGTATCTCTCTCACAGTGATGATTTGCTTCCTTTCCCTTCCTCTCTCTAAAATCAATAAAAAATATTTTATATAAAATAAATCAGCACAGATTTATAAAAATCTTAGAACTTTTCAAAAGGTCTGCAAAATTGCTGTTTTTTCCCATCTATTCATCAGGTTATCGTGGTGTCTTCCTCATATCACATTGCCCACTGTGCCTAATTAAACAAGTGTTTTTCCAAAAGCAAATTCCCAGAAAATTAACCAAAATATGGGGGCTAGAAGAAGGACCTGGGTTTATTACTCTTGCACAGGCATGCTTCCTGATATTCTTTAAGCTTTGGTGCCCAATTTTCCTTAGAACTACTTTGGATGCATGTTAGATCCTGAGTGCTCAGGTATGTGCTGAACGTGATTTACACTGTTCAGGCTGTACTGCTTCTTTAGGACTTTAAGAGTCTGTAGCATAAAGAAGTTTCATGCCCCAAATAAGAAAGCCTGCAAACCAACTATAACAAGTATGTATCCTGTTTTATAAACCCACCTCCTAGTAAATGCCAAAAGTTCCTCTCCTCCAAAGAGAACTTGGTGACGTGATGAAGTTCAAGAGATACGACTTGCAGTGTATGGCAAAGGTGGAAGTGCTACTGGCTGGTGGAATGCCTCTGCTTTAATATAACTAGTTAGAACCCAAAGGGAATACCTCATCTTCCAGTTTCTTAAGGACCACAACTGAATCAGGGTGACTAGGCTGCACTCAGAACTAAAACACAACAGTTACAGGAACAACAGGTCAACAATAGTTCACCTAAAACAATCATCAAAGCCCCGACATGACTAATTCAGCTGTAGATAACGTCTACAGCTTTGGCTCTGAACCAGTCTCACGCAGCAAGAACTTGGGCTTATTCCCATTGACACTGGACCCAGGGCAGATTGGATTGAGTTAGAGAACTCCAAATTAGTCATTTGAACCGTGAGCCTGCCAGAGAGGGCCAAATCTGTCGAAGAGTTTCTAACAATCCATTCAAACTCCTGCCTTCTCTCACCAACCCTGGACTAGTATTTTACTCAACGAGAGTAGAATTTTTCCTAATTTAGAAAAGCCCTCAAATTCGGCCAAGTGGAAGGCTAATTTAACACCCTCTCCTCTCAGGAGGCCACTGAAATGATATTCTATTCAAGGTTCTCCAGTCTGATGTGTAATACTAAGCATTTAACAAATGCATTCGTTGAAAGCTGTGGTCACGGTGCTAGACTTGGTTCTAATCTCTTCAAACGCCGTGAACAATGAAGGGAAACAGTCTTGAGGACAGTTTTGTTCTTCCTCGTCCCCAACGCTCTTGATAGTGGAATAAAGTCTGCTCTCTGTGGCATGTCCATGTTTACCACCAATAAGAGACTGATCTGTCGAGGCAAGGGCTCGCAAACACAAATGAATGTCATGAATTATGGGTCCAGCAAAAAAAAAAGATACACCTGATGATGGATAAAATTTCTCATTTTCAATTGGAGAAGAAAATGTGAAACTGAACAAGATGCAAAGAAAACAAAGGACAACCTGTCACAGGAACGGCCTCTCAACATTTCCTCATCTTTGTGATAAAGCAATAAACGCCATAGGTTGTACTCACTCACTAATGCAAACCTGAAAGGGGATGTTTTCTCTTGAGATGGCACTCGTAGAATGAACAAGAAGCATTTCCCTTAATGAGGATTAGTTGAGAGGTGTGAATCAACAGCACAAGATTAGGAATGTTTGACGTGGTATATCTGAGTGTTAAAGGTGCAGTCCCCCTTTCTGAAGCTTTAAACCAATTGCCAAGACTTTATATTGTTTGCACCATAAGACTTCTTTTCCTGACCAAGATATGTTTGTGTCTGCCATTTCATGGCAAGTTCTGGAGTCATCTTTATGTTGGGACAGACATTCTTTACATAAGTGTTATTTGAACAAGCTATTATAATAACCTGCCACATAGCATGCATCCAAGAGAGGGAATTACATAAGTTGTATTTACATTGCTACTCTTAATATAACATCATTATTTTCTTACCATCCATGGTATCAGTTAAAAGATCTGTCTTGATTTAATAAGGGGGTTCCTCATGATGGGGAGTTATATTAATTAGCTTCCAAACAACATTTCTTAAGGAAATTTCAGTGTGGGAGGGAATGATGAAATGGGATAAGTTTAACATTTGGCATATCAAACATTTTAGGTGTCCATGGGACAAGCCCCTAAAATAACTCCACAGATTTTTCTTTTTTAGTAAGCTTTTTAGGCCATTTATGATTGAGCTCTGAAGCTGAAAATGAAGGAGGCTACACCTTTGACTTCCAGGCTTGTGTGTTCATGAACAACAAAGGGCAAGAAATGGAAATAGGTATCAAGACGGGCGAGAGGAGACAGAGAGACAGAGGAGACAGGGAACAGCTAGTTTCCCAGCACAGACACCAATAGACAGGTAGCATTGATTGACACTGTACCTAGAGAGGCTGCCCTCGGCGGCCAGGCCCTGGGAGTCATCGAGGACATTAGGTTCACTGCAGGAGGGGTAGGGAGATGAAGCATTTAGGGAAAGAAAATGCAAACAAATGAAAGAAAAAGGAAAAAAAGGCATGCGATTTTCTGCTTCCCAGAACCAAAAGTAAATAAATAAATTTAACAGAACAAGGAAGGAAAAGGAGACGGTCAACCATTTCACCTTGTGCTGGGTTTGTCAAGACATAGGACTCAAGGCAATGGGGATAAGAGGGACTTTGGATGAATACGACTCTCAGAGAAGTGATCTGCTTATTGGTCAAGAGTTGGGACTTAAAATGAGCTCCAAATAAAAACATGGGCTCGGAGACACATTGCAGAATGAGTCTGTACAAGATGAAACTAGCATTCCTTCGGTAACCATTTGGCTGGGTGGTTATTGTTTTTAACCTGTCTTATGTACGTGACGTTTCATTGAGCAGACTGCTGCTTCTTTCTTGTGCGTGGTGATATCATCACACAGAAACCACTTACCATAAACTGCCACAACCAAACTCTTGGAACTGATGCCTCGAAGAAAAGTAAAGAAAGAACCCAACTTCCACTGCTGATTTTGCAATGAAAAGGCAAGTAAACAAATGGAAGAAAGGTAACCCTGGAAAATCCACATGGAACTCTATTTACCTCCTTACTCCATCCTCTAGTGACTAAATGGCAAGAGAAAAAACCTGTCAGGTTGGTGAAAGAATAAGTTAATCGTTTATTGATCTGCTTGGATGCAGTTGATTTTGGGATTTGTGAACAGAAATTGTGTCATACTTTGCCTTTCTTTCCTTCACTGTCTAGCACTGAGCTTATAAGCACCCATGAGGTACTCAATAAATATTTCTTAAACCATTTAGAAAACTGGCAAACTGGAGTGCCTGCCTCCAAAGAATTGTTTAACTAATCTAGTACACTGTAAAAATAGCCTTTGTGTCCAAAAAAAAGGGCCCTGTCTCCCTAATGCACATAGACATTATTACCTTCACTAGCCTTCCAAAACATGACTCAAGCTCAAAGGGTGTAACTAGATTATCTTTCTGGATTTCTAGTATGTCTCTAATAAAACAAATTTTGTCCCTGGAAATGAGTTAACCCCTTAACAGATATGTCCAAGGGGAATTTATGGCCTGGTTATTTTAGGTAAATAACAACAACAACAAAAGCTCTATTTTAAATTCCTATAATTCCCTAATTTAAATAAAACTTTAAATAAATTGATAGTTTTATTTTATTCCTGAGAGAACCTTGCACATTGCTAACAATTAAAAATACTGATAGTTACCAATAACTGCTCATGTGACTTTATAATTTTAGGACATTGTATAGTATATTCTTAGGAAGCTAAGAACACCAAACAAAATGTTTTAATCATGGAATCATGGAACTATAGATAGAGAAGTTACTTAGCAATTGTTTTAGCCAACCTCCTCATTTCACAGAGGAGAAAACTGTGGACTCTTGTTGAATGACCTGCCCAAGGTCACGCATAAGTCCTTTTCTGCTTGGTTAAGCATCACTAACTCCAACTAAATTCTGATGACATACCAGAAGTCTAAACTTTACCAAATATATCAAGCTAGTCCTATATACTTGCCAGGTACTCATTATTAGCTTAGCTAATTATATATCAGAAATATGAGAATGTCATTTGAAAGAAGACCATGTGTCTATTTATGGAGCATTTTAAAGGAGAAACGATGCTTGGATCAGAAATTGAAATCCCTTCTACAGCCCTGGCTTAGAAAACTCGCCGCTAATTGTTGCCTGTATAACCCTAGTTGAATGGCCTACTTAAAAACATCGATTGTTTGCTTCCCTTTCAGCCTTTTCAGAATAACAGGAGTGAAGTTTCAGAATTTCTACCTTTCCCCCAAATGCAGAGTATAAGATATCCATGGCTCTTTACCTTTGGCTAGGTAACATGCCCACCTCAGCCTGAGGTGCGGACATGCTAGAGACGTGGCTGGAGAACCTCCTCCTTCCAATGGCACTCAGGAGGTAAGCTTCTTGTTCACTTACCACACTGGGCATGCTCACAGAGTCATCTGAGAGGGGCAAAGAATGGGGTGTTACAAAACTACGACATTGATCGGAAAAACCAATCCAAATTTGCATGTGGGTCCCATCCTTGGCTTGCATACAACCTTACGACAGTCTCTAAAGCGAAATGATCATTTGTCCCTTTGTACAGATTAAAAACTAAGACATTGGGGTCTTAAGAAACACCTTTCCTATTTGTATAAAGCTTAGCCTCTAGAGTTACTGAACATTGTCACCTTGAGGATGGAAATAGAACTGCAAGTTAAAGTGATGCTTCTTTCATTTGCGTGAGGAAAACTTAGCTGAAATAAAGCTACATGAAAGTATGTACATCCTGGAAAAAAAAAACATCACAAAAGACCATTAGGTTCTTTAGTTTTTAATCTGCACAAAGGGATGAATAACAATTCTTCAGATCCACACATCTCCAATTCTTGAACAGCTTTCATGAAATAAATATAAACTTCCTGTCCATTTTTAGAAGTAGATTATTTGTGAAAATCAAGGGGATCTGTAAATTCACAAAAGCTGGACTATAATTTTTTAAACATTGCAGGAGTAGTTAAATGAGAAACTTTGTTACTGAAAGAATCAAGTACATTTCTTTGATATTCAAATGCTACATTCAGTACATTTAATGATTTTTAGACTGCTGAGAGAAAGACTATTTCAGATATTTTTTTGAAAACCTAAAAGTTCATAAATAATATTAACCTAAATTTTAAGTTTTAAGCACATAGTCTTGTTTTCTCCATAAAAGCAGAAATCAATGTATTCAAATCCCTGTGAAGGTTAACTTAGCACAGAATTTATGACAAAGTTACCTCATTCTAAGTGAGCTAACATTGTTTGTCACTGGACAGTAAACATATTTTGTTTAACATAGAGTTTTGGTGAACTTTTGTTACCATCTAAGGTCATCTGACATCATTTATTTAAAATATCCCAAGTGGTCATATTTCTAATGAAAGTTATTTCAAGCCAAGACAATGAATATAAAAAGTGCTAGAAATTGTAATTTGCTAAATAATGATGGGTTGAAGTTGATTCTTATTATAGAACAGTATTTACTTTTTAGGTGCCTGTACAGAGAAGCAAACTAGCAAATGTGCCTTAAAAATCATGAAAAAGCAGTAGGATAGAATTGTGATTCAAAGGCCTTTCAGATCCTATTGATCCCCCCCCTTATTCAAACTAATATATCACTTAACACTTGCACCCTCAATATTTGTCTCAATATTTGTTTGGTGATTAATCATGTGCTACTTTCCATTCTTCCATTAGAGAAAATGTTATCTCCTCTACAAGACCTCTAAGATTTTAGAGGGCAGAGAACATATCTTTCTCATACTTCCCTGTTCCTGCTGGATCTTAAAACAGGTTTAATGATTAAATGAAAAAACAGTTTAATTCAAAGCAGTCAACCCTCTAGCTTTCATAGCCCAGTTCATATAAATCAATACACACTCACATCACAACCACACTACAACATTTGTTAGCAACCCTGCTTTCATTGGGATGATTGTGATGTCTGAAAGCAGAATATTAGCAAAAAATTCACACTTGTCACTGTGTGAGCGTTGGAATTTGGTCAATGATATCTCTGTTTATGTTTTCTCTACTCTTACACCCCTAGCTCTTCCTATTGCTTCGGTTATCTACTGATTCATAAGGGTACCTGTAAAATACCTTTAGCTCTTCTAAAGACAGGTTGTATCATTTCCCATCATTAAAAAACAAACTGCTGAGAGACTACCTCAAACATTAAAGAAAAATAAATATTACTTTAAGTTCTAAACTATTCCTAGGACTTAACAAACATTCAAACTGCTGATCCTTATCTCTCTTATTTCATTTTCTTGTTTTTTGTTTATCCCTCCAACATTTCCCTAATTACATTTTTAGGAGTATTTCCATGAGCAGTGACCAGGGTGCATTAGAAACAAGTATGTCCATAGGTTGGGTGCAGGACAATATAATTATCACTTTGTTATCTGATTAACTCTGAAACTAAATCTGATAACATTATTCATAGGTGTTTTGACACAGCATTTATTTCTTCTCCTCTCTCACCCATTCCAACTCTAGTAGGCTGTTAAAAACACATTCATTCTTCTTAATTAATTAAAATTCTGTCGTCAGCTCCCATTCCCTCTATTTCATTTAGTTCAGGGCTTTTTGTTTTTGTTTGCTCTGAAGGGGCTCTGATCAAAGACTTAGATTTTGTTTTCATCCTTAAGGCATCCATTGACAGCACACTTCACTATAAATGTTACATCAGAGTGTGTTTAAAACACACTTGGAAAATAATCAATGCAATTTCAAAAAGCATTAAATAATAGTAGTATTTAATGGAACCTTTCACCTCTTATTTTTTAAAACCTGCTCCTACTCACTTTGCTGTACACATCTGAAACTAATGCAGAATAATCATGAATGTGAAACAAATAAAAAATAAAAATGAAAAAAAAGCACCCTACTCCTCATTTCACAACACCAAATCTTAAGCATATGCCTTAGAACAGTGGTTCTCAACCTTCTGGCCCTTTAAATACAGTTCCTCATGTTGTGACCCAACCATAAAATTATTTTCGTTGCTACTTCATAACTGTAATGTTGCTACTGTTATCAATCGTAATGTAAATATCTGATATGCAGGATGGTCTTAGGCGACCCCTGTGAAAGGGTCCTTGGATGGCCAAAGGGGTCGCGACCCACAGGTTGAGAACCGCTGCCTTAGACGCTCATGGGCTCTTTCAGTCACCACTATTCCTTCTGAACAGCATGCTGGTTCACATTCTAGATAGGATAGCCCAGTGGTCGGCAAACTCATTAGTCAACAGAGCCAAATATCAACAGTACAACTATTGAAATTTCTTTTGAGAGCCAAATTTTTTAAACTTAAACTATATAGGTAGGTACATTGTTATTAACTTAATTAGGGTACTCCTAAGGCTTAGGAAGAGCCACACTCAAGGGGCCAAAGAGCCGCAGTTTGCCGACCACGGGGATAGCCGACTGATCCCTTCTGAGTCCTGAATGTATCCATTGCTCACTTTTCCTTGCCCAATGGAATCATCTAAGGCGGTGGTTCTCAACCTTCCTAATGCCTCGACCCTTTAATACAGTTCCTCATGTTTTGGTGACCCCCAATTTCATTGTTACAAATTGAACATAATTAAAGCATAGTGATTAATCACAAAAACAATATGTAATTATATATGTGTTTTCCGATGGTCTTAGGCAACCCCTGTGAAAGGGTCGTTCGACCCCTAAAGGGGTCGTGACCCACAGGTTGAGAACCGCTGATCTAAGGGGATCAACCCTCTAAGCAAGATGGCCAGGAGAAAGGAGCATAAACGCTTCCCTTGGTTACTTAAGCACAATTTAAATGAGAGCTAATGAAAAAAAGGTGAATATATAAGCTCAAAGCAAAGATTTACTTTTTGCCTGAATTCCTCCCAGATGATCAAGTACATCAAGAAATTTGTAAGAAGAGCAGGCTGTAGGAATCATGGAATCAGCTACAGTTCCATTTTAAATCCTTGTGAAAATGACCAGGGAGTCAGAACTGACCAGGGTTGGAAAGGCAGAAATCCTTCCCAAGCCCTCATTGGCATGGCCAAGCTGTGTCACCTCCTGCTCCCTCCCCCCACCTCTCATCCCCAACCTGCAGGCTTCTGTGGGGCGACCTACTTTCCTCATCCTCCTCATCGGTCCGGCTCAGGGTGTCCTGCGAGGCCTGCTGGGAGGGCTCGCTGTCCTGCTCCCAGACCGTGCCGGTGCCTGTGTTGGAGCGGGACATGGTGGCCAGGCTCAGGCGGTAAGCAGAGGTGGAGGTGCCCACGGTGCTGATGGACGTCTTCCCCTGGTAGGCTAGGGGGTGGGGAGACCAAAGGAAATCCTTGGTGAGGATCTTGAAAACAAGTGTTTGCTTCATACTCCTCCCTGAGCACTTGTATTTTTTAAGAAAAGTCAGTTAAATGCTGTGTCCCAGATGAATGACCTTTAAGACAAAGTAGCAAATGGGAAGTGAGAACATTTATTTTTTAAAGTGAAAAGTTAGAATTGGCCACTGTTATAAACTGAATAGTTTCCTGGTGGGAGCATGAAATTACCAACAATGTGAAATGCTTTGACATTGCTTCCTCTCTTACTGTTTTTCAATTTCATTTTCCAAGGCTGGTAGAATGCAAATTAATTTTGACATGAATTGTAGTTTCCAACCTGGCAGATTTTACTGAGAAACATACCTCACCTGACACAAGCATATGAAAGTAATAAATGTGTTGTCTGATGGAAACCTTACCAAAAAAAAAAAAAAATCAGAATATATAATCAAACCGTTCTCTTATTCTCCTTTTTTGGAAATTACAATTTATAAAATACCCCCCAAGGTTCTATGTCAGAATCTTTTATTATAAAGCAGAATATTTGAATGGCTCTGTAGGAAATTTCTCCAAGATTGTACTTGTCAAATTTTTTGTCTTTAATACTTTGCAAGCAACAATAAAAAAAGCCACACACGGAATATTCCACTTATGGGTATGGACTGCCCTCTAATGGCAGATGATTTATTTTGCTTCCTCCGTAATCTGTTGTTCATCACTGTTATAAAAAAGCAAGCAATGTATTCCCAAAGAAAATACTTTGAAAAATATAAAGAAAGTATCTCATTGTCTGCCAGCTCTGATTCAACCCTCTCTCCCTCCAGTTGGTGAAGCGTTCGAGGCTTTCTAATCAATCCTGCAGACCTGGCTTTAAGTCCCCTCCCTGTTGTCACTGGCATGTAAGTTACTGATCCTTTATCAGTCTGCTTCCTCATGCTATAAGTGGACTCTCAGTTAGACATCTTGTAGGTATTTGTGTGGATTAAATGAAATAACACCTATGAAATAATCTACCATAGAATAGATGCTCAATGCATGCGAGTCCCCCTTCTCCTTTCCAAAAAGGAAATGAAGGCACACATTTAAAATATATTTTCCCCAGTTAAACTAAAAAAAAAAAAAAAAAGAGCTTACCTACTGAAATAAATATCGCAAACAATGCTTAGAAAAGGAGTACAATAAAACCGATGAGGTCCCCTTGATTAGTTTTGTTGTTGCCAATGATCGCATAGGCAAATCTGTCAGTGTTCCGAGATGGCTAACCCAAATGGTTCCGAAGAGAGCAGCGACCCGAAGAGTGGCATCTTTATTAGCCAAACCCATGCACACGCACCTGAGCCACTGTGAACTGCCTCCTTCAGAATTTTCAGCTCATTGTTGAACTCGGCAATGAGGGAGCTCTTGCACAGAGGGCGGGGAATGAAGCGCCGCTCCAGCTGGTCAGCAATATGCTGCCGGGCTGAAAGCTCGTCGTGATTCTCTGCTGGTTGGGCCAGAAGCTGGAAGGAAGGTGGAGATGCTCAGGGCCTCAATTTCCCCATCTGTAAAATGGGCTAATCATTGCACTTATTTCATAGTTGGTCGTGAGGGTTAACTAAGGTTATCCATATGAAGTTTATAGGACAGTGTTGAAGTGCTTAATCAATACATTGCTTTGAATCACTGCCCCAGGAAATCGGGGCAGGAGAAGAATAAAAGGTTAAAAAAAAGAAGAAAGGAATAAAATGGAATAGAATAGCGAGGGTCTCAGAGGACAAATATGCTTTAACTATCACATCTTTCTCTGTTTATTTAAAATCAGAGCTCAGTCCTGCCACTAAAGAAAGAACATTTTCTAGAACACTCCTCAGGGTCAATTTTTTTTTTGGGGGGGGGGAAGAGGGGAGAGGAGGAAGTGAGTGGGGAGGAAGCAAAGTTCTATAGACTGTGAAGGTTCTTCTGACATGAAATCTGATCCTCTGGGCTACACTTTTGAGCCCTTTCCTCACCCAGCGTGATCTTAACAGGTCCTGCTAACTAGCTATGGTTCGTCCATGAACATCGCTGCAGTAGCCCTGCCTGAGCCGGCAGAGCAGCTCACTCCTGGGGCTGCCACTCCTGGAAGGAGACGCACGCAGCGCACCTTGCACTGGATGAACGGGCGCAGGAGCACGAAGATGGGTATTCGGGTCCGCACGATGAAGTCCAGGAAGTCCCACAGGGCCAGGCCTCCCACCTTCCGCAGGGCCATCTCCTTCACCTGGAGGCTCAGCCAGTACCACTGGCTCCCGAGCTGCCTCTCGAAGCAGACGAGAATCACCTTGAGAGCTTCACAGAGGGAGAGAGAAGACTGAGCCTCGGTCTGGAGCTTCGGAGGAGCCCTGCCCGCCCCCAGCTGCCCACCCCACCGCCCGCCATGCATCAGGACGTTTCTAAATTTCCAAACTCTCTCCATGATTCCCCAAACCTACGCGTACCCCTGAGCGAGCGAGAGTGTTCTGACACGAAGACAAACATTTGTGTGGTAGACATGTTTTCATTCTGAATCGGAGAGCACAGATGTCTTTCTTAGGGGGCATTTAAGTACTATTTTTGAAAAAGACATTGCAAAGCAGTTCGTAGAATTGAAAGGGAAATGTGTTCTACACATGATGTGTGGACACTATTTTGCTTTCCAAACATTTGGTCATGGTGGCGGCTTTCTGGTAATACCAGCATATCACCCACATCCTAAACTAAAACATGAGTGTTCTAAAATGTTTTCCTTTTAAGCATAGAAATAATATATTCTTGTTATTAAAAGTAAAATCCAACCATGCAGAAATGCACAAAGTTAAAAACAAAATGTCCTTCCCCTCAGCTCTCTTTTGGACCCCACCCTGGACTGCTCCCTAGGGGGTAACCAGTAGGTGTGTTGGAGTATATCCTTCCAGATTAAAAAACAACAACGAAAAACTCCTCTCCTCCCCCCGCCCCCCTCCATATTGTGCATCAGGTCTATTACTAAGCCCTGTTGGATTTCTTTCACAATATCTCTTCCTTTCCAGGTTCTGGCAGCCGTGTCATAATCTACCCCCCACCCCCCGCCCCAAAGGGGAATTCCTAGTATGTCAGGACCACCAACCAGGATGCTGGAAAGACGTCAAAGATTGGTGGGAGCTTGGTTGGCCACTCTCCCCGCCCACCTCCACCCCAGAGTCTGCCATGGGGCCATCAAGGGGCCCTGGGCCTTCTTGATCATGACTGAAGGCCCATCTCGGTAACTAAAAGACACACAGATATCCGACTCCTTAAAGTCCTCAAGAGTCACACACCTTTCCCAATTTAGGGCATTTCCAGGAAAAAACCATGCCATGTAACAGAGTGAGATATTGTAAGATTCTTCTTTACCCACCTCCCTCCTCAAAAATCTCACTTTTCACAGCAACCACTCATCTCAATTCCTCTCCCGCAGCTAAACAAACAACTGATCAAAAAGCAACCCTGCTCTTCCCCTACCCTGATCCTGGTGACATTTCTACTGCTATGTTCCCGCTGGCCTTTTCTGGGCTTCTGCCATGCCACTTGCATCTTCTCCTCCATCAGCCCAACACGCAAACAGAATAGCAAAGGGCTCAAGTGCAGGAACTCTGCTGCTAGATGGCTTGGACTTGAAATTTGGACCTGCCACTTCTTAACTGTGAGGCTTTAGGTAAGTTACTCTATCTTTCTGGGCCTTAGCCTCTTTATTCCGAAAATGACACATAGGCTTCTTAGAGTTGTTATGAGGGTGCAATGTGATGATAATGTGAAGAACAGAAAACACCTCCGAGTGCACAGTAATGCTCAAATAAATGTAAAAATGAATTTAAAATATAGCTCCAGTAGCTTGGCAGAGTGACCACAGGAGCGGCCTTCATTAAAAAGGTAGAAAGTGGAGAGAACTAAGAAGAGTCACTTAAGTGTTTTCTCCTATCCTCCTCTTAGACGTGAAGCCCTCTTTCTCCACATCCTCTCTATAATCCCAAACCTCACATGGGGCTTTGTCCCAGAGTCTGGAGTTTACCCGAACCCTGTATTCTCATGCCTCTGGCAGCCAAGCCCCACATGGGTAGGGCTTATGCACATGCATCTTCCGTTTTTACCCCTTTTTTATTCTCATTGTCAATCACATCATTTTCAAATGCACCCCTTCATAATGCAGTCCATACACCACTTACATTCCCAACATCAAGCACCTGATGTTACAGGTGTATGTGTCCATCTTATACTCCTCACCAAGACCTGCTTTGATGAATTGAAAATGTCAGACAAGATTTACTCAACTTCCTCCTTTTGTGATTTTCTGCTGGCATGCTCCTGATTCTCAGTACGGTGGCAAGAGTGGTCTTTCCCCCCTGGCTTAGGTTATTCAGGGCCAAAGAGTGGCTTTCCAGTATTGCATGGGTCAGGATCAAGTGAAAGGCAGGGGCAGGGTGATGGGAAAGCAGGAGTGGAGGGAAAGGGAGTCAGCAAGCTTGCGGGAGAGCAAGATCACTGGAGTGAAGATCAAGATAGAGATTTAAGACCATATTGTAAGGGAAGAGAACAGCTAGTAGGAGGGCATAATATATGGCAAGGCCATATGTCCTGCTGTGCAGGATGTAGGCTGCCCAACTCTAGGGGCTCCATTCACACAGCTGACAGACCAATACATCCCACGAGCTGTGCAATGCAGTGTCCTCCTACACTAGGCTGAGGCTCGATCTGATAACAGTTAGGGATGATAGCCTCATTAGCGATCTCATGCTTAGTCAACAAGGAGGAATTCTCACTGCAGAAGCCTTCCTTACAGGCCCAGACCCTCTTACAGAAATGACCAAGCGATTTAGGCCTCACAGATATGAACAGACTGTTTTTGGACATGTGTTTATTGACAGAAACCAGACTCTTTTGCAAGGGTGGTGCTTCTTACTTTGCTCAAGTGGAGTCTTTCAGTACTTTCCTGATGGAGGCTCTTACAGAAATGACCCAGCAATTTAGGCCTCACAGATATTAACAGACTGTTTTTGGACATGTGTTTATTGACAGAAAACAGACTCTTTTGCAAGGGTGGTGCTTCTTACTTGCTCAAGTGGAGTCTTTCAGTACTTTCCTGATGGAGGCCTTTAAAAATATATATATTTTTTGAGTCAAAGTGGATGGTAACTAAGTAGGTATGTATATTCATATACATACACCTGCATACATACCTCTATATACACCTGTGTATCTACAGAGAGAGAAAGGAGGGGAGACAGAGGAAGAACCCACCTAAGTACGCAGCTTGGCTGGTGGACTCTGCCAGCCCTTCCCTGCGCAGGTCTTTCCCGACGTCCCCCGGGGTGGAGCAGTGAGCGGGGGAGCTCTCCAACATGAAGTTCTTGCTCCTGGACGTGCTGATGATCCGCGGAGGCAGGAGCACGTTGATGACCGTCTGCAGTAGCAGCTGCACCTCGGGCTGCTCCAGCCACGGGCTATCTGAGGGGCAGAGTTCGGGAAAGGGAAGTGGAAAGAAAAGCAAGTCACGAGGTAGACTTCCCACATCAGACACAGAACAACTCAGCTCTCTGTCCAATTCCAAACTAGAAATGCGGGCTTCCCACATCAGACACAGAACTCAGCTCTCTGTCCAATTCCAAACTAGAAATGCGGGTCTTTCCCCACAAAGTACAGCTTCTCCTATGGACAAGTGTTCCTGGTACTGTTTGCTCCATGGTCAGCGTCCAAGGGCTTGTGTTCTTAGCCAAATCTCCTGCTTACCATTTCAATCGCCTTTCCTTTTTCTGCTCAAATACTCATAATGTACAGTCTTTACATTTGATATAAACTTGCCTAAAAGAAAAATCCTCCCAAGAAGGAAGAGTGATGAAACTATATTGGAATTTAATGGCAGTGGCAGGATTATACTAACCCCAGTGGCTGGAGGTTACATGGCCCATTCATCTGTCAATTCTATAATACTGTACTTTAATTAATACCATTTTCTTAATTGAAACAATGGTCTCCTGATTTTTGCTGTACTGAAGTGATTTTGAATACAACTGATCTTCTAAGAAATGGAGCAGAGAAAGTCTTGACCCAGGGTAGCTAAATTGAAAATGAAGAAAAATCTATTTCCTAAGGTAACTCTGTTTAAATCATTCAGATCGACTTCAGTGATGGCCTTTTTGGGAAAAAGAAAGAGAAATAAAACCTGACATTTAAGACAACGAAACAGTGATAAATTTCCTTTAGTTAAATTAATCAGACCTTTGCTTCCAGATCCTACTGTGAGCACAAATGGGATGAGTAGGTTTAAAAGCATCCCTTCCCTTCGCTCTTGATTGGTGAATGGGGAGATCACATGGCTTAAAGGGAAATCTTCTTTTAAAGCCTGTGCAGCAATAATAGAAAAAGAGATTAATTGACCCCCATACTCATGTTTGTTTTAATACAGCATGACCGAGATGGTGACTCCCTGGTGGTTGCTCCTGTAAACTGAGTTCGATTGTCATCTGTGCAGCATCCAAGATTCACTCAAAACTGATACTTTACCATTATTTGCTTGACATAACTGAGAGCTATATACCTAAAAAAACAATAACGTCTTGAGTATTAAATGAAAAATTATGGTCTGCTACAAAACAACCATATTTCCCCATTCGTTTTCTCCATGGGTCCACCAATAAATAATTGCAAGACAAAAGGAAAGGAAGAAAATGAGAACTTGCCCCCTGATCCACTTGGAAGTCATTTAAAAGTCCTCTGACCCCTGCATAAGGCCTTCTCCAAGCCAGGAGGCAATAGGTAATACAGAAAGAAAGAAATGATCTCTGTACCCAAATTATTGAAGTGTATCACTTTAGGGATATCATTGTTTCCCTCTGCATGGGAGCCACAGTTCTTGCTTAATTTCTTTTCTATCATCTTCCCATTCTCTGGATGATAGCCCACCAAGCATGGCTGTCACACAATGAATGGGTCAGTTACATTAGTTGTATACTTCCCAAGATTTATCAGTCACAAACATCGACAATGAATGGGTCAGTTATCCATTTACATCAGTTGTATACTTCCCAAGATTTATCAGTCACAAACATCAGACACACAGAAAGAGGCAGGGGAATTTGCATTCTGCACTTTTTGCCTTGGGAATGATTATTCTAATTTTAAGAAATAAAATAGCTGGGAGAATGAAAAAAAGTACCCAGAATATTCAATCCACAATCATTAAAGAAAATTAAAATATTCAAAGTCTAGTAATAACATTTGAAAGAACTGTATATTACCATTCTTTCTACAAATAATTTAAAACCAGACTTTGAATATTACTGTCTCTTTTAATTAATAATTGTGTGCTGATTATCTGAGAACTATTATTTTCCTATGGTGTATGCAACATTTTAAATGACTGAAGTGGTTCCTGAGGTTATGGTAGGACTGAACGACTCTGCTATTTTTGAGATCTCAAGAAGAATTACAGAAGCACAACTTAGGGCCAAGCTCAGGGCTGAGACTCCAAACTGTAAAAGTTTGGAGATGTTCACACTTCTGTTTCACAGATTTTGCCCAGCCTTTGCAGAAAACAAAAAGAGAACACCATGATCTGGTGCCTCAACCAGCAACTTAATGAGCGTGACAAACAGGTAAGGCAGTCACACCTGTATCTGCAATGCTACAAGCCGGACAACAGCTGTGCTGAAGGGCAGAGGTGGTGAGAGATAAGGGCTGAGATGAAGAAGGGGTAATCCATCAGCAACACTGGAAGGTCCTACCACTCCCATCACCTGAAATACAAACAGAGCACATGACCAGCCTTGGCTATTGCAATTTCATGCAACCATTGTAAGGGAGTGTCATTCAATAATAATAATAATTTGAAGGTTGGGCATGTTACTTTCAATCTGTTCTTGTTGCCTTCTTCTGAAGGCATGTAATGTCTGGAGTCAGCTCAAACATAACACTGGATTCAGCCAAGGTTTTGTAGAATGTTGTTTACAGCTAACTATGTAAATAATGAGAGATGAGTCCCAAAACTATTCTAATCAGGAGACTGGACATACTTACTTGTGGATTCAAAGGAATGCAGTCAACATTTTTTTGATGGAGCAAGTACTGACAACAATGAGGATGGCAAGAGCTCTATTTGCACTAGGCATTCCAGCTACAGATTTATTGCTCAACTAGTTAAGCAGCAGATCCCATTCAATGAAATGCTCTAATATGGTTTCCACATCGTACAAAACCTTGTCAGGACCCGACTCTAGATATTACATAAATAATACAAAATTTGTTTTTCTTCACATAAATCCTAGACTGGCCAACTCAGAGTGTCATTTTGCACCAAAAAAAGAAAAAAAAAATCCTCTTTGTATTTTAAACTCCCCCACCCCAGGCTATCTCAATCTCCGGCCAATCGTGTGGTCTCCGCCACCCCACTCTCCAACTGGCAGCCCTCAACTCTCAGCGCAACTTGAAGAGGTGAACTGTCAAAGTAGTGTGTGGGAAGCAGCACGCCAAAATCCCATCTGTGTAGGGACGGGCCCCTGGATCTCCCCACGCACCACCTTGAAAGGTACCTCACTATTTTCAGTGTCACCTGAGCCGTCTGATTTCATGGGTAGGTAGGGGCACAAAGTGGTTGACCTGTAAATCTTCAATTCAGAGAAGTCAATAGCAGAGTTAAATTGTGCAAAATTTCATAAGATTGCCACTTGGCTACTCACCAGATTGACACAGACATTGATCAGTGACCTAAGGTGAGGCAGGAAGGATATGATTGGCTGCCTCTGCAGTGTCAAACAAACCCCTTCAATCAAATTGCTGGCAGGCTCCCACTCAACCTGTCGCCTGGAATACAATACAGGAGCCATTAGCAGCTTGGCTCCCTTCTGGAGACAGTCTGAAACAGGTGAATGAGACAGTGATTCTGACGCCATCTAAGACTGGATGGGTGTCGAGACAACAAAGGACTTCACATGGGATGAAGTTTACCCAGTTGTTCCAAAAGCACAGAGCACACTGGGAAGGGAAGGAGATACTGAAAACGTGGCAGAGGCACTCCTGCCCCACTTGACTAATGAGACAAAATCTATCGAAGAAAAAGACAGAGATGATGAATGGGTTGCATTTGTAGTTCCCTATTTTTACTTTGAAGAGAGGGTAGGAGACTACCATTTTAGGAAACCATCACAGGGGTAATTACCCCCAACAGAACTCATCTGGCCCCAGGTTGCATTTCTGAAATCTCTTTAGCAGAGTACAGTTGATCTCATCAGCTTTCCAACCAGACTACTCTTAATTGAACTTTTATGGCCTAACTCCTGCCAAAAAAAGTCACATTAGAGTAAAATAGTTTATTTTAAAAGTATTCTTTCTTGCCCTAAGAAATGATACTTTTTGGCTACTTACTTTGGTAATATAAAAGGTAGTATACATAACCCAATTAAATGAACATAGGATTTTCAGTAATAAAAGTCAGTCCAGTCTGCAATTGCCGTACCAAATAAATCGGCTGGGCTTTACTGCTATCAATACTATTTCCAAATATTATCCTGGATATAATTTCTAGGCTTACATTTCCTACCAAAATGAGGTATCTGCAATGACAAAATGGAAATGTTCATAAATGGGAAGATATTGACATTTATGATGTCTGAGTAACTTACAGGTCAGGTTCAATCAACATTACTCTTGTTAAATTGAGATCACCTGAAGAAATTAAATCCAAGGCAATCCCAAATTCCCTGCATGCACCCCAAGAAGACTGCCTATAATTGACCAAGTCTAAGCATTAATCCAGAAATCTACTTTTATGAAGCATGATGTATTTAATAATTGGTTTAGCTATAGGACAAATGAGTCAGCCTATGGGTATGTTTAACATCTTTAGATAAAAAATTATTTAAGAAAAATAATTTATTTGATACACTCTTGTAGGACTTGTAAGACTTTGGTCATTTGCCAATAGGCACAAATGTTCTATTGGGACCACTAAAGAAAATAGGAGTGCTTTAAAGACAAGTATTTTCATGCCACTGATAATATAATGCATAGGCATTCATCATCATGAGATGATATAGGAACAAACCATTCATTATTAGAGGAAAATCTTTCCATTTCTTTCTTAAAATAAATTCAATAATTTCTGTGGCTGCATGAATGAAGAAGAGCACAGGCTAAAACCTGGAGAAGCTCTGACACATTGAACACTAAGTGCTACAAATTCTCAAGGCAAGAATTTCAGTGATTTTGGGTTTGGTTTAAAAGGACAGAAAATGTTCTCACTAACTCAAACTTGAAAATTCAGATTAGAGGGTTTATTCGCATTATCAATTGAGCTATCTGCTCACTATGGCTATACATGTCCAAGCTGCGCTCAGATCTCAGGTGGACTGGGTCAGAGGCATCTGCTCACAGGAAGGCTACCAATGGGCACTTCAGGCCACTGAATGGAGATTAGGTGGTAATAATGTCCATTGAGTAGCCCTGAATTAGGCGAAAAGTTAAAAACTAGTATTTGCTATCAATCCTAGGATATTTTAAAGCTGCTGGTTGCCTATTATTATAAAGCTTGGCATTTCTCTACACTGGTACCTAAAATATCATGTTAAATACAGTATTTTTTGAACATCAAATTAATTTTTCTTCTCTCCTTAGTTGTTTTATTTACAAGGCATATCCTGCTTTACTTCAAAAGTAATTGAAGGATACACATCAAATTCCTATGTGTGTCAGATAAGGAACACAATAGCTTAGAAACAAGAATTTTCTAGACAAATATATATATTTTGAAAATGCTATTTTTTAAAATATAGACCCTGCTACTTACGCATTCATAAATCTAATTAGTTATGCACATATTCTAAAAGAAAACTTTCAAGCCAATCCTTCAACTCCAGATTGATCCAACACCTTAAAAATGGACAAAGCCTAACTTTGAGGATTGCAGTATCAACAGCTGAGTAGGAGGTCTCCTCACCTCAAAGTAGGCATCTTATGAATTTTGTTGAACATTCTATCCAATCTCTTTAAAATGAGGATAAGGGCCGGCCTCACTGCCTCGGCTGTCCAGTCGGTAATAGGTAGCATCTCCATGATATAGCGTCGAAGCCCCCGGCTCTCCATCGTCTGCGTGTCGTATGGTGCCAGCTTCAGAAGGGAGTGAGCAATTTCTGCCAACCTGAAATGGGTTTTGTTCTTAGGCATAAGCTTAGGACACCACAATGAAATTTTTTTTAAACACAGCATCATGCTAATCACCCTCCTTCCAACACACCAACTCCCTGAACTAAGAACATTTTGGCACATTATCTCATAATTTTGAAATAAATTTTTAAAAACAACAAATCAGAATAAAATAAGGCCCATCAATTTTACTTGTTTGATATGTCTCCTAAGTCTTTTTAATTTGTAGGTTCCCCCTCTTCTGCTCTTTTTTTGCCATCTTATAATTTATTTGTTGAAGTAATTGCTGTTTCCTGCATTCTGGATTCTGCTGGTGAAATTTCCATAGTTTCATTTAATGTATTCCATGACCCCCATATTTAATTCAATTGGTAGTTAGGGGCTAGCTGCTAGGTTAGATTAGGTGTTGATTTTCTGGCTGGTATACTTCACAGGTGATGTATACTTTTAAAAACATATTTTTTATTGATTTCAGAGAGGAAGGAAGTAGGAGAGAGAGATAGAAACATCAAAGATGAGAGAGAATCATTGACTGGCTGCCTCCTGCACACTCCACACCGGGGATCGAGCCTGCAACCCAGGCATGTGCCCTGACCCAGAATTGAATGTGACCTCCTGGGTCATAGGTCGATGCTCAACCACTGAGCCACACTGGTCAGGCGCTGATGTGTACTTTCAGCAGGAGGTACATGATCCTAGTTGTCACTCTTTTTAATTAATGGCTGCCATCATTAATTACACAGATCCACTAATTCATTAGAAGTAGTACAATGGTAATATTTCCATCATTCCTTTTTTTTCATGCATTAACTATAGCATGTTAATAAGGAGAAATTTCCTTTTGATTATTACAAGAGAGACAAGATAAATGCTTTTATCTCTTTCTCACAAATGTGCCAAGCAAAAATAATTCTTTGCTTTTCAGGTGGTGTGTGTGACAGATAAGAGTGTATCTATATGTCCATATTTCTTTTCCTTTGTTATTTTACAGATAACATTGGGAAACAACCAACATATTTTAAGCTTGAAAACAATATTTGGAGCTGAATTTGAGTCATTTTACAAATTATTACCTGAATTTCTCTAATACTTGGTCATGTTACAAAATGAATTTGCTTTGAGCATAAAATAAAAATTTTCCTTTAATACAATCTTTGCTGTACTATTGCATGAATAATTTATTGATAAAAACATTCCTAGGACCCCTTTTCAATCAGAACAGAAGGGATTTTTCTCATTGAGAGGGAGAGGGAGAAAAAAAGAGAGAGAGGGAGAATAGGGGAGAAATAGGGCGGGGAGGAGAGAGAATATTTGCAGATCTTACTATCCTGCTGTCCCATTGCTTTGCAGCTCTCAGGTTAGGTTGGGCAAATTTGGCAATAAATTCAATTCCCCTAGGGCAGAGACTCTAGCTCATCAAGAATATTTTTTCCTGAGAGCCGAGCAGTCAACCAACCATATTCAGGAGTACAGATTGCCTCAACACTGCTTCTTGGCTCTTTGTCTGGAATCAAATACTTCTTGCAAATATGTTCTCTTTTATATCACCTCATTCCTCTTTTTTAAAAATCAACCCTCTCTCCTTGAGTGATACTATCCATTCTTATGACCTATATGCTCACAATTCCAAAATAAATATGTTTAGCTCTGACTTCTACATATATCCAAATGTGTATTTAATTTATAAGAGAAAACCTTGATTATAACCTTTGATTGGTGTAAGGTTAAAGCATATGGATCTGCTCCTAGTCAGCCATCTAGAATATCTCTGTTGGCCAGCGAGCATGGTAGGTCCATTTTTATTAAAATCTAGTTGTGCAAAATTGCATGAATAGAGGACATTTAGTCTAACTATTCTCTGGTGGTGTACATTTTGCCTACTCTCCAATAGATAGATCCATGCCATAAAATAACTGTGCTCTTGAATGAGATCTCCTGGCTCCAGACAGGTTGCTCTTGCTGACCTGCATTATGACATCCTGCCAACTTTCAGTACTGACAGGCGTCCAGCCAAGTGAAACTGGCACTCTATCTACTATGGGCTGTTGTTGAAGACATTGCTCATCACACCACTCTTTCCTTTAATAAACACCAACCAGAAGACATTTATTGTTCTTTGTATTTTTTTAAAAAAAGTGATGTGTTACCAAACACCTAGTTTTTTTAAATATTATTGACACTATGATTTTTTAACTGACCATTCACTTTTCATTGCTTTGATAACTCAGAAACTCAAAGTCAAAGTTATGGTTCATGAAGGGCATCTAATATGATCGAGTCACATAGATTTCACATGTTAATCTTATCAAAGACATAATTATACACCTGATCATTTTTCACATTGTTCTGATTCCCTAACTTGTACATTTTATCCCTTTGTATATTGTAATTTTCTAAGTAGCCTCAAGTACTTTGTAAAATGATAAATACATAAATACACATGTGAGATACAGTACTTGCAACACTGCATTGAAGCTATTTCCTTATGTGTGCCTTTTGTATTGGACTGTGATTATGTTGAGGACCAGGATGTTATTTTACACGCCCAGTGTCCAGCATTAGTATTAGTACCTACTGGACTCTATTAACTCAGTGACAGGCACCGAGCTAAACCATCTCAACGACAGCTCATTTAACCTTGTTTTTTATTTTATTTTATATTTTTATTGATTTCAGAGGGGAAGGAAGAGGGAGGGAGGGAGGGAGAGAGAGAGAGAGAAACATCAATGATGAGAGAGAATCATTGATCGGCTGCCTCCTGCATGCCCCCTACTGGAGATTGAATCTGCAATCTGGGCATGTGCCCTTGACCAGAACTGAACCCGGGACCCTTCAGTCTGCAGGCTGAGGCTCTATCCACTGATCCAAACCAGCTAGAGCTAGCTCATTTAACCTTTAATAAGGGTTGCCTCTAGAGGGAGCTCCAGGTCTCTCTGACTCATCCTTTCCCCTCCTTACAAATGCCTAAAGTGTAGGTATAGATGGTCAATTTATCCCACAGTTACTACCACAATCATTCTCTCTCTCTCTCTCCCTCTCCCTCTCCCTCTCTCCCTCTCTCCCTCTCTCCCTAATCATTCCCTTTCTCTCTCTCTCTCTCTCTCTCTCTCTCTCTCTCTCTCTCTCTCCCTCCCTCCCTCCCTCTCTCCCTCTTCCCCTCTATTCCATCTTCTAGGACTGTTTTCCCCTTTCTCCCACAAAATGACTGTTGGTAGTAGTGATTCTCTGTCTGGGAATGTGGTGTTGCTCTGTTCACAGAATTACTGAGCTTGGCCAGCCAAAGGAAGGGGGATGTATTACATGGAGCGCTGGGTTGCTATGGCAACAGGATCTTAACACTCCTGTCCTCCCCTTTCCCAGCTAGGAGCTGAAATTCTCAGTGTGAGGTAAACTCTTCCCCATTAGTGCACAGTGGGGAGAGTGAACACGCATGAAGCTCTGGAGTTCTGGGGGTGGGAGGGGGGTGGTGAGTGTCAACAATTCAGATGGTGAAATTAACTTGGAAGAGAAAGAGCCTGTGTTCTCTATACATTTTTGGACTCTCATATTCCCTCACTTGGTACATTCTAAAATTTTCAAGGGATAATTACAAGAAAAAAAAAGTCAATAATTAGAAAGCTGGTGTGTTTGCCAAACTGCAATATTATTTCTAAATGACTAGAATCCAACTCTAGCTTTAGCTTTATAGATATACTAAACTTTCCAGGTAAATATTTTGCTATCCATGGAAATTTCCCTTTCCAGGAATTTTTATGAACCTTTACCACCATTGCAAATCAGAGTAGAAGATCCTTTGGAATCATGTTCCTTTTAGGAATCTGAAAATATTCTACAACCTTTATGATCTGAGTAATGACCGAGACGGCATCTCCACAGGAAGAATGAAATATGAGTACACAGAGATGCAATTCTAGGGCCTCTCCCTGGCATAGCAGGAGTAAAAATGTTTTAAAAATATTTTTATTGATTTCAGAGAGGGAGAGGGAGAGATACAAACATCAATGATGAGAGAGAATAATTGATCGGCTGCCTCCTGCACACTTCACACTGGGAATCGAGCCCACAACCTGGGCATGTGCCCTGACCAGGAATTGAACCGTGACCTCCTATTTCATAAGCTGACACTCAACCACTGAGCCATGCTGGCCAGGCAGGAGTAAAAATTTTGAAATGGTCACTGGTCTCTGTATAGAATTTTTATTATTTTTATTTTTGTTAATCCTCAAACAAGGATATTTTTCCCCATTGATTTTTAGAGAGAGTAGAAGGGAGAGGGAGAGACACACAGAGAGAAACATCGATGTGAGAGAGACACACATCCACTGGTTGCCTCCTGACAGGGGCAGTGGATTGAGCCTGAAGTATGTGCCTTTGATCAGAATCAAACCCAGGACCCTCCAGTATATAGGTCCATGCTTTATCCACTGAGCCTAAGCAGCTCAGGCTGTGCTTTTCTGAATATTGCCCCCCCAACACCACCCCCCCCCTCCGTCCATTCTGAGATTCTTTTTGAGGAATTTAATATACATTATCCCCCAGGGTCCTGCAATGGTATGCATCAAACCACTGGAAACATCATTCTGAGTATCTCAAACTCTTATCTAGGGACCACCCCTGCCGCCCCACCCCAGACACTGCCTGTTACATCTATACTCTGGGTAAGAACAGTGAGAACAGTACCTCATGTGGGACTTCACATCCAGCAACTCCAGGGCCGTGACCCGAGGCTCCCCAGCCAGGTTTTGCAAGATCTTCAGCCTTGGCCCGCAGTGCTTGTAGAACTCAGTGCAAATATTCAGCAGGGACTCCCGGGGTCTTCTGAACTCCTCCCGGGCAATTCGCTCATCCAGCTCCTCTCTGGGCAGGCCTTGCCCCTCCTCCAGCAAGTGAAGGTTTTCCCTGGGAAATTACAAAAGGTTAACTGGGGGCCTGGGAAGGTGTGTGTACGGCAACTCTGAGAGGAGAGCTTCCCATGGAAGAAAAAGGTAAGATTCCTTATATAACAGCTAATGAATCAAGGCAGGGCTTGGAGAAACCCACATCTCAAAGTTTATCATCCTAGAAGGAATTATCATCCCAAATTGTAGTGGTGCTTTACATTAGCAATTCCTGAGGATTTACTCAGTAAAAGGGTGCCATGCGATAATTATATGAAATCTAACAGAATCATAACCCAGCTCAAAGGCAATCATTGTAAGATGTCAGAATGGGTATGGAATTAGGGTTGTCTTTCTGTACCTGATAAAGTGCAGTTTGGCGCTTTGTTCTTGGTACCTGGGAGTCAGAAACACAGTCTGCATTACTATCAGAGCAAGAAAAGAGGCTGGACTTTTTCTTAGGAGAAGCCATCAAAACTATACATTTTGATAAACTCACAAATACACCCATACAAATCCTAAAATATACAATCTTGATCTTTCATTTGCTGCCACATATGGTGCAATTATAGCTGCTTTGAAAGCTGTTCCATTGGCATAAAATCCATGGAAAGACAGATATTATAAAAACACATCCAAAGTCAAGAAACGTGGTCAATAAGGGAATTTTTAAAAACTTTGAAAGTAAAGTGAATCTAAGTTACAGTTTTAATACCACATGCTTTGAAGGTGATCAGAGGAAGAAATATGGCTGACTTCCTCTCATTTGTGGAGATATATTGCTTTGTAGGACTTTAGAAACCTTCTTTTCCCATAGGCCTTATATCCAGTAGTTGAACCTAGCCCCTAAATATCACTTAGAGTATATAATCATTTTTTCTCAATATAAGAAATTGAGGCATGAGTTCACCATCATATCTGGTAACTTATAGTTCAGATTGGAATTTGTTTTATCTTTACTATCTATATATATAAAAAGCCAGCGACTGGAACGCCATAACAATCTGAACTATGACGCCCACTGCCGCCAGTGAAACGGCCGGATAGAGGGATGGGGCCGGCGGCCAACCTCCTGCAGTCCCTCCCCCT